ACCCAGGGCGCACAGAACAGCACCGTCGGACTCCCCTCGGGTTTCCCGTTCAAGCGTGACCTCGACGCTCGCCAGTTCAACTTCACCCTGCCGAACCAGCTCCCTGTCGCCGGCACATTACCCTTCGGGCTTACGGTCACCCAGGGCGCGCAGAACAGCACGGTCGGCCTTCCTTCGGGCTTCCCGTTCAAGCGCGATGATGCTATCGAGGCGAGGCAGTTCAACTTCACGCTCCCGAACCAGCTTCCTGTCCAGGGCATGCTTCCTTTCGGGCTCACTGTGACTCAGGGCACGCAGAACAGCACTGTCGGTCTTCCTGCAGGCTTCCCATTCTAGAGTACAGTTGCATGCTCCAAGATACCCGCTTCGTTTGGCGCTGGCGTCTGAATGTAGTAGTAACCTATATGCCCAATATACCCTTGCATTGATGATCAACATGAATGTTCATTGGGCCTCAGACGGAGGATACATATGGGCCGATACACCAAGAAACCCAGCTGTGAGCCATTCGAAGTATGATGGAGGTCATTGCGAAAGCTGGCAGCGGCGCTCATCCGGGCCACGAGGCAGCGGGCCGACGAATACCGGTGCCGAATTCTGTGAATGGGACTTGCCTTCAACGGCTATGGTCGCGCTCTACCAGTTCCTACTCAGGCGTACTGCACCTTGCCCTTTCAGTCTCATGAAACTCGGAGGATCTTCGAGTGACGAGAATCATTCGCGTGCAATCGAGCTTGGTTCCCCCGTCCGACGCGTATCGAATTCGGCGGCGTTGCACAATGCAACGATCCTAATGTATGCCTTCCAAAGATGGTCTCACGTCGGGCCCGAAAGGATGCTCGCAACTTGCAGCGCTCTCGCGACATATGAACCATCGTGTCAAGGCATTCAGCTCTCACCCATTTCTCTGCCCCCTTCTGCCTCCATTCTTCACTTGCGCCACCTCCCGACGCAGACTCGCTTATATTTTAGACTTTACGCTGCCGGACGGCGTATCAGGATATCATTATCCTCTCAATCCTCGTCACGATGAAGGACAAGGAAAACACCGCCAATACAATCTACCAAACTACCACAAGATTCCCGCCAACCTCGCTCAAGCTCGCACCGCATGCAGCTCTTCCCCTTCAGCCACCGTTCTCTCAGACGCTACATAAGAACACGCCCGTGCGCCCTCCGCCAACTAGTCGGCAGTTTGTTCCGAGCCCTCTGCCTTCACCAACGGCGCGGTCGCCCTTGCGAGCTTCGGCGCCAGTGTTTCGCCCCTCCGCGACTTCTCCAATCGCTGCGTCACCCACAAGGCCATCCGCATCTGCCTATTCACGTGCCCCGCCTACGGTCCAGCCATCTTCGCCTCACCATACGCCCGAACGCCCGCCGCTCCTTTCCCCAAGGCTCATTCCTGTGTATTACGCCCCGCCTTCGCGCGCCAATGATCCCCCCTTACCACGTATCTTGCCTCTACCACGTCGCGCTGGTGCCGCTTCACGCGAGGCGCACACTGCGCTCCGGCAGCTACCTGCGTCGGGTACCACAACCGCTGGCTCTGAGTCTCAGGCAGAGACCTTGATTTACACGCATAGCGATATGGTCACATCGGACGGTCCTCTACGAGCATGTATCGGTACCTGGACTTCTGGATCTGATGGTCCCAAGAACCGGGCAGACTGCGTATACGCAAGTGACGCTCTTTACGGCGCTTCACTGGTACGGATTCCCATGATGACGACCGTGGAAATTCGTACTGACCGCTCGTTGCAGGCTATCGCCCTCGCTGTAGAAGACGCCATACCGTATGCTCGACGTGCGCCCGTTGTGGTGCTTACTACGAACAGCGCCGCTCTTACATCCATCAACCTCAAGGCCAACATCCAGCCAAGGCCCGGGACACCAGCCTACCACGTTCGCACCCTTCTCGCTCTTTCCGGCGCGCAAGTCACCGTGCGCCTTGCCGAGGATGCCGCCAAGGATGGACTGACGCGCAAGTTATGGACTGGCGCTCGCGCACTTGCGAAAGCCATGTTTGATGCGCGGCCGGAGATTATCGTGTTGGATGTGAGACGACGCACTACGGTCCTGGAACGCGCACCGCTACACAAGCCGCGATGGCCCTCATCGACACCAACTACGCCTGCATCGGGCAAAACCAATACAGAGGCGACGAACACGACAACAGCACAGGCGCCCGGGCCGGAGGTCACTTCCATCTACGTCTCCGGCTGCATGCACCCCGACGAAATGAGCGCGCTTATCGGCATGTGGGTCGGCACGAATGATGCGCGCAACCTCTCCGGGCGCTTCGCTTGCGCGCACGGTGGCGCACGGATGGCCGCGATTCTGGCTGTCGCTGCGGGTGTGGAAGCGGCAGTGCGACTGGAGCGTATGGACAACCATTCGGGTGTAGTCGAGGTCGTCTGTGCTGAGCTGGAGGACGAAGTCGCGGATGGTGCGTTGAGTATCTCGCCCTGATTAAGCGCTCAGTCTCTGATCGCGCCTATCACAGCCATTACCTCTCTGCGCCCTTCCACTCCAGGCCCTGTCAACTTCAGCGACGCAGAGGCCGAAGCCATACGCCATGTCCGTTGCAAGTTAGGGTTCGCGTCAGGTGTGCGCGTGCGCTCTGCGGCTTGGGCAGACGCTGCCGAACTGGGTATCCTTGGGGCACAGGCACTGGGTGATGGGGCGAAGGAAAACGGGACTATTCCAGGTCGGTGGGTCGGTGGAAAACTTGCGGAGAAAGCGCCAGCCATCACGTTCACTATCGCGACTGCGGACCCCGTGAGGGATGAGGTAGCGAACGTTGAGCAGGGTTTCGCTGCAATTGCACTAGAGGAGAAAGCGCAGGGGAAAGAGGACAAAAACGTGGAAAGAGAGGAACATGTGGCGGTGAGAGTGGGAGTAGAGACGGTCAAGGAAGATGTGGTCACGATCGGCGCGTCTGCGGTTGAGAAACAGAAGATCGCTCTCGAAGAGGAGAGAGAGGTCGTTGAGGAGCAGGCGGCAAATGTCGACAAGCAAGAGCTCTCCGAGCATAAGGGCGAGGAGGAAGAGCACCTCATAGAATCCGATGGCTTCGAGGTCCCGGAACCGACGAAGCACGCGCCGAACACCAGTTCATCGACTGCAGACCATACCAGTCTTGAACCCGCAGACGCGCCTTCTGCGCATGTTCAAGCGCCTGTCGACACCATTACTTCGGCGTCATCTCTACATGTCAACGAGCAATTTGCGTTGGACTCGCGACCTCAACCACGGCGAAAGTCGATGAGGCGCCGTTCGTCTTCGGCGCGTCTTGCTCGGCTTTCAGTCAACCCATCCGACGAGTTGAAGCCTGCATCCTTCCAATCTCTCGCTGAGACCATCCACACCCTTCATCTTTTGACGTCTTTCGCATATGCATCCCTCGTCCTCAAGGCAACACCTGGCGATACCTCATACAAGGTTCGTGTACCGGATACCAACCTGATATTGCACGCTCGCGACATCATACGAAAATGGAACGAGCAGAAAAGCGCATGGCAGGATATGCTTCCACATATTGCGTCCGAGATAGGGCGAGGGGACTACAAGAGCTTGACGATCGAGGAGAACGAGATACGCCTGGCGTTCTGTCAATGGGCGGGAAAGGTGCAGGACTTGGACACGCTGCTCTGGCCGGATATCGCGACTCAGGATGTGTGTGCGGACGATAAGAGCATGGAGATCGTTAACCCGGGCGAACCGGTGACTCCGAAGCTATCGAAGGCTGCACGGCGTCGTAGGAACCGCAAAGCTCGCCTCACAACCGCGCTCGCGCTCGCGGCGTCGAAAAATGCCGCGGACAAGCAAGCGCCCGTACTGGCCAACCTCCCTATATCGTCGAAGGAGTCGGAACACCTCTCTTCTACACCTGATAACGCCGCGATCGTGGACCTCGTTGATGAACCGTGTCGACCGTCCTCGACCTTCCAAGACGCAGATCCCGACGGGGAGGACGCCGACGACGAAGGCGGAGACGGAGACGACGAACCACTCGACTCCCATGAACGCGAGCAACTCGCCCGTGCTGAGGAGATGCTTTCGCGCTGGGATGATCTTACAGAGGAAGAACGACGCGAGGCGCAGGCGCTCGCTCAGAGCTTGGTCAGCCAGTTACTTCCCACCGCCGACGATGTGAACGCCAGCAAGAAGGGAAAGGCGGAAGTAGAGGGAGAGATTGACGCGTTTCTTGAGGAAGAGGATTGGGCGCCACAAGAGATACAAACGATCGCCGTTGGCGACGAGATTCTGAGCGGTGTACGCGATCAGCAAGCAGGAGCTCAGTATGATCCAGACTTGGATGCAGACGTCTCCATGGCATACGCTGCGACGAGCTACGACGCGGAGATCGCTTATGACACATCGTCTGTCGCGACGACGAATCCTGCATCTCCATCCATGCAGCCCGACGTCGCTCTTGCACACGCCATGCCTCTGCACGTCACGGTGAACTTGAACCAGGGCATCACTGTCGATCCATGGACCGCAATTGCGGACTATGGCGACTCATCCGATGACGAGGACGCCGGTGCCAAGAGCAACTCCCCACTCCCCAACGAACTAGATGCGACCGTACCTTCTGCGCTACCATCGCCATCGCCGTCTCGATTGAACGCGCCACCTTCAACTGCACTGCAATTGCCATCTCCCTCAAGCTCCCCACCTTCGACGCCCAGGAGACAGTTCCTTATGACGCCCATCGCACCTTTGCTACGGCGTATCTCGCCGATCCCCGCCGCTCCTTCCTCTCAGGCCGCTATCTCGCCACCAAAAGAACGCGCTGCCAGTCAATCGCCATCGCAATATATGGTCGATGTCGAAGGTGTTCAACGCAAAGCCGAGCGTCAGCTACCCCTAACACCGCGCGAAGAAGTTCTTCTGGAGAAGCATGCGGCATGGACGGCAGCGAGGTCGAGTCCCCTTCGGCCGGAAGCTCTGCCCAACATTATTGTGAGTCGATTCGAGGCTTTATATCTTCTTGTACTCATAAAGAACTTCTAGCTCACGCCTACGCCTACGCCTATGCCTACGCCTGCGCCTGCGCATATGCTTATGCCTACGCCCACGCCCACGCGCTCGCCTACGCCTACACCTGCCCCCAGAACTTCACCTGCGTCTGCATCTGCACCTGCACCTGCACCTGCACCTGAGCCTGAGTCTGAACCTACACCTGCCGCAGGCTCGATCGGGCTCCCGCGAAAGGTAGAAGCAGCTCCGGCGAAACCGGCGCTCATATCGTACATCAGCTCATTCCTCTACGCCCGCCCTTCCTATTGGACCTAGATCTCTTCTTCCGTTATGACTCGGGGCTACTATCCCATATAATAGAGTAGAATATAGTGTATCCTCTCATGTACCGTAATCATCACCAGTAATACTTATCTCGCCGGTATAGTATGTGTTGTATAATCATTATCGTGATTTCTCCCAACGATCTAGGCAACTCACGCGATGGGCTACAGCCGAACAAGCGTCCTATGTGTACCCATGTACTCCCTCACGCACTCTGAGCGCTACGAGCATAGGCAGTACCGTGTGGCGACCGGCTATGGTCTCGGGCCGGAATGCCGAAAGGGGTGTGGCGCGTTGCGCTTCTTGCCTGCGCCTCTCTTCACAACCACCATGTTGTTTCCCTATCTATCCAATATATACTGTTCGTGCTCTACTGTTACATGGCCGCTGGCTTAGGCTCTACGCGAAGATGGAGGAACCAATGACTATGCCTAGGAGACGTAGACGCGAACGCGCGTGTTGGTGAGAGTGTCTCGGAGGTCCAGCGTCTCGGGACGGGATGGACTCTCGAGCTCCTGAGTATCTCTATATGCTCTAAGACTGAGGTGCTACGTGTGCGCAACACTTTCTGTTGCTCTTGTGTGCTGTACGTATCTGATCAGCTACGTACAGCCGATGGGTACAGAAAGAGCTAGTTGATGCAAGGAAAAAGGGAGTTGCCACGACGTCGTAGCTCTCGCAGCGAAATACTCCTGAGCTCAGCGCCCCTCGACTATCCGAGTCGTCTCGGATAGCTTCACCCCCTACCACTCAACCTATATAAGCAGCAGTGCTAACGCTCTATCTGCTCATCATCCAATCTACATTCAACTCTTCAACTCTACAACCATTCTCATCTTCATCCCTATCATGTTCTCTACTCGTTTTTACACCCTTGTCTTCCTCGCCGTCGGCGTTGCAGTCGAGGCTGTTCCCGCTCCGTAAGCACTTCATCCCTTCTCTGTGCGTCCGTACGATTCTGACATACATCTAGGATGAAGCGCAATGATGCGACCCCCGCTCTGGCAGCGCGGGCCCCGCAGTTCTCCGTGAACATCCCCAACAACATCCCCGTCTCCGGCACATTCCCGAATGGCATCACTATCACTCCCCAGACGCCTTCGGGCAGCATAGTCACGGGCAACAACAACTCGACCCTCTTTGGCCAGTTCGGGTTCAAGCGCGAGGAGGGCGTTGAGGCTCGCCAGTTCAACTTCACCCTGCCCAACCAACTCCCTGTCGCGGGTACCCTACCTTTCGGCCTCACGGTCACCCA